GCCGTATTTTTGGTCCCCTTTTAGCGTAGCTCTGTGTTAATACCTCAGGATGTTAGCTCGAGTGGGGTAAAATTAATTTTTGGTGTTCAAGAGTGTAATTTCTTTTCATTCCACAAGCCTTCAGATGTCCTAACGCCTACCAGCTGTGACAGTACTGGAGACACTTCACAACCAGGGCTTGCTGAGCATGCAGGCTGCAGCGCGGCTCGGGGGCACAACATATGTAGGATATGGCTCCACATGGTTTGTGAAACGGGCTCGGGTTGTATTCATCTTGTAACGCTTCTTAGACGTGTTTCTGAGCACAGATATGTTCTTTGTGGCTTGCTGTTAGGTTGGATTGTCAGCAAAACTGTCATCCTGGGTGGCTTTCAGCAGGTGGGCTGGCTGGCTTTGGAACGCGTAGGGTAACGCTGCTTTTCAGGAGTGAAGCCATCTCCAGCAAACTCAAAGGCTTGCAGAAGCAGACTATGGAGAAATACTTAGTCTGTCTTCTGTCTTTCCTCAACTTCAAACTAAGGAGGGCTTGGAGGTGCCTGGGGTCAGAGAACAAGCTGACACCGTGTCCCAGAGGAGACTGTGAGGAGAGAATTGGATGGCTTGGGCCATGGTAAGAGTCCCAAAACTTCAAGCTGAGATGCTAACGTTTGCCTAATGACCTGAAGAAAAGGCATGTCCCAATCCTCCTGTCTCTGTTCTGGGAGGGCTGCTGAAATGTGCCCATCTGCACGAGGAAATAAAAAATTTGGGAGCTATTCTGTAAGGCAGCTCCTCCAGGTAATTGGAGTGGTTGGGATTTTTGGGATTCTTTCTGTTGTGCCAAAAAAATAAATGAAGCTTACCTTCATTTAGCATCATTTATATATGCACGTATCTAAGTGCTCTAACAGGTTTTTGGAGGTTTGAGGTTTGATTTATTTTTATTTTTTTTATCCTCCCCTAATAAATGAAAAAAAATTCCTTTCAGAATCAAGTGACTGTTCTGCTGGCTGTTCTCTAAATTGCTGAGTCATGATAATTTTTTTTTTAGTCACAGAAATTCCCTGAATCTTTAGGTTTGAGGAATGTATTAGTTTTTCTCTTGGTAGATCCCTTTCCTTACCTATTCTTGTCAAAACCCATCTGGCAAAAAGCCGTGGCAGCACGGGCACTGCACTCTAGCCTCTCCTGATGTTCAGAAGGACCATTAAAAATTAAGATAATTAAGAAATTAAGAGAATTAAGAAATTAGAAATTGGTCTCAGTTATTCTGACCTTTTTACCATGTCTGAAGTTTATTTCTACACCACCCCCCAACTAATCTTTTGATATGGGAAATCACTGAATTTGTTTCTTCAGCCTGAAAAGAAAAACCCTGTGTTATTTAGCCACCAGGTCTGAAGAAGTTTAGGGCAATCAATTTAGCTGTTCAGGCATTATAAGCACGCCAATGAATTTATCATAAAGGATGACTGCTCTAGGTAGAGGGGGGGTTGTGATGATTGCAGGAATAAATTGTAATTATTCTATGGAACAATTTAAAACCTAGGAATTTTGTCCTCTGTATTGGCTGTGCAGAGAACTGTGGCCATCAATTACTGCTTAATTTATTCTGTTTAAGGCGCAGCTTTGACTTTTCTGGCCCTTATTATTTTCACTTAGCGAATTGTATTTCTTGGCATGCTTAATTGCCTTTTTTTAAAATAGTTTAGAAGGGCATCCTTGAAGTGCTTCACTCATCGACTCAGCAGTTCAATAGGCTCTATTGGCAGCTGGTTCGTGTGATAAGAGTCAATTAATGGGTTTTTTTGTATGTCCAGGCTTTGGCTGTGGTGTTATTCCTTTTGTGCGGAGATGGGATATTCATGAAGGGGAAAGGGAGAAGTAAGGGATGAGACGTGACACTGAAAGTTACTTCGAGCTAGCTCGCTGGCTGACGTGCGCTCGTTGACGTCACTTGCGTGTGAATCACATCCCAGGAAAAGAAAAAAAAAAAACCCAGCAAAAAATCCCGATAATACCCTGACAGCCAATATAACACTATACAGAAGTTGAACTCAGTAGCTGGGAGAATATATCCATTATTCATACGATGCACTGACTTGTTTCTGCTTTCTCTCCTTTTTGTTCTTCCCTTTTGCTGGTTTATTTGTGGGCTTTGTGGAACTTAAAACGAATGATTTTGAAACTTGATAAGAGTGGTAGTTATTCATCACCTGTTTTCCACAGAGAGAAGCTCCTCTGCGCAGTAAAACTTTTTCTTGCAGCCCACCTTGAAACTATGCGTCATTATTGACTAAGTGTTTGGCACTGATACTTCCAGCTTTGTATGTCTATCTCGTGATCACGTGACAATTCTTGCAACAAACCTGTTTGATTAAAAATCAGAGAATTAAGGTTCATTGTTATGTGTTTTCTGTAATGCTGTTTTGAATTTTCAGGTGTCTGAGACATGTCCGTGTCACTGTGAAATTAAGGTTTTGATGTAGTTTGCCAGGTACTTCTTACAGAAATGAGGAATTTAAACCTTTGTCCAGTGCTGATGGTGAGTGGGAAGTAGCCTAATTTAATTTATTGCAGTGGAAGAAACCAGAACAAACAGATTGCTTATTTGTTGTTTTCCTGACGTTATGTGAAAAGAGGAGAATGGGTTTTTTATCTGCTGAATTTAATATTCCTCACTTATGTATTCCAGTATCCTGGGAATAACCAGCATTGCAGTTGTGCTTCTGCTAACAAAAGATCTACTTTCGACTGCAGTTCCTAACGGAGTAAAATCTACAGCGAGAGCTGCTCTTTTACAAGAGTTGATATCAACAAAAAGTTATTTTAGTAGATCTTTGGATTACATTGATACAGGTTTAATCACGGGGCTGCAGAGCCTGCTTGTCTGATCGGGCTGTCTGTCACACCATCGCGTCGGCTGAGATTGGAAGCTGGGAAATACACTTCCAGGATTTTCTGTAAATTTTCAGCTAATAAACTTTAATTGGTCTGTCCATAAAGCAGCGCCCAAGTTGCTGATGATTGTTGTAACTACAGGCCTTAAAGAGATGTTTTTACCTGACAGTACTTTGTTAAAGCTGTTAAAGTGTTAATTTTAATGATTGTGCCAGCCCAGTGTGAAATTTTAATTCCCGATGTAAAATGCAAGCTCCCTTTTAGTACGTGTTACTAAACATTTATTGCTACATGCAGTTGAATGATAAGCAAATAAAAACACAGCGATGGCTGCGGTTTATAACTGGTCATTAGAGCCCTCATCCGTCAAAACACATAAGCGTGCACATAATGGGACTATTTGCATAATTACAGTTACGAGCTTGATTTCTGAGCGTGTAAGCAGTCCTTTAAGCATACGTGGAAATGGTTGATGATCAGGCTCGACAGTTTAAGTGGCCTGCGACGAAAAGTCTGAAATTTGCATCTCACCTGTCGACACGGTTGGTGTTGGCTCGTTTAAAAGTGGTCGCCAAGCGCTGGGCACACGTCCCGCGCCGGCTGCTTGGCATTATCCGTGTGCCTGTAATCAAACAATTGACCTTGAGCATTTCGAGAACGGGGGAACTTGGTTTAAAATTACCAAGGTCGTGGCAGAAAACTGTAGTTGTTTGAAAAGGGACAAGCGGTTTTGTATGTACAATACTGCGCGAGTCCAGGTCTCTGTGGCTCTTCTTATTGTTAACAACTCCCACGGAAACAGAATTTTTCAATCTCTTGAGTTGCCCTGACCGTAGAGCTCTATGGCGTGATCACTTGTCAGTTTGTGGTCTTTGCACTAGAAAAGAATTGGTTAAAAAAGAAAAGGACTCATCTTCCTTCTGGTTCGAAGGACGGGGAGCACATGGTGCTCTCGATGATGGAAACCAACTGCTGAGCACCAGAGCCCCAGCCAGAAATGGAAATGCCTTGTGTGGGGAATGAATCGTTCCGTCTTTTGAGGCAAAAATATCAAAGCATTTGATATTGCCAATGAAATGCAAAAGTAGGCAAAATAAGTCAGGCCGTTGTGGTTTATATTTGTATTAGTATATTTGATTTTTTTTTTTTCCTGGTTTGATGGTCAGTGGTTGCAAGAACTTGGGGAACCTCAGTTAAAGCAGCACGTGTGTATGAAATAATGTTAAAACTGCTTTGCAGTTTCTTAGGTAGAATTTTTTCTCTTCTGTTATTTGAAGTAGGGCATGTAGATCCATTTGCAAATGGAGGAAAAAACCCACCCCAACTTTATCTGATTGAAATTACTGTTTGTGTAGATGAAATGATTTTTTTTTGATGTGGCATCACTAGGGGTCCGTTCACTATTCTCTAACCCAGAGAGTAGGCTGGCATAATTGTATCAAACTTTTAATTGATAGATTTTTACTGTTGATGCCTGTAAGAGAATGCTTTAGAAATAAAAAACGAACTACTAATTGTTAAAAAGAGATGGAAGGTCAAAACTAGTTAAAATCACTACAAATAGTTAAAATGTTGCATGTCTATTTGTGTATTAATCCCTTCGTTGTGTGGTGTGCAATGGAGTGACAACTGCAAGTTCAAGGGCAATCAGAACTGGGGTTTCAGTAGTGGCTGTCAAGGTTTTACGGCAGGGAAGAACGGCAGTTGTGCATTTCTGTTGCATTTTTAAGTAGTGGAGGGAAAATTAAGCCCAAACGGCTACAGAGTGGCTGATCCTCTGTAGGAGGATGAGGAGAAGGTGCTTATAGGTCTCTCTTATAGGTCTTATAGGAGAAGGGGCTTATAGGTCTCTAATTTTGCTTTAGTTGTTGCTTTTTCAGCTTGCTAATCTTTCATGCCTCTTTCTGCTTTTAAATCCGTTAGATGTAAAAGTTTTTGTTTTCATTATGCTTCAGTTGAGGTAATCTACCCTCAGAATAGTATTTAGAAGCGAGGCACAGGGCTTCGGCTGGAGGCGCAGCAGCCTGCTCCTGTGTGATTCTCTTCCTGCAGTCTTTGCATCACCTTTAAAGACACATGAATTTCACTCTTGCTTATTTGCTGTTTTTATTTTTTTTTAGGGGGCAGCACTTAAATACTTGCCAGCTATTGTCAACGATGTGAAATTAGTATTTGATCCAAAAGAACTGAGGTGAGTGAGTGAAATACATAGTGCAAACTTTGTCTAAATCATTATTTTACATATATATATGCACACATATGTAAAGTATATACAGAGGCAATGAAATAGGATCACCTGAGATGTTTTATTACTTTTTTTCCCCCCCTTGCAAATATTTTTAAGGCTACTCAGCTTGTTTTTAAAGTAACACATGTGGCATCAAGGTTTGACAAAGGTCTGGCCAAACTTTGCAGTCTGGTTGAGTACTCTCATGTAATGAGATAGCAAGAATTATCAATCCGGAGACTGACATCAAAGCTCTTAAGCTGTATTCTTGATTCTTCCCTCTTTCAAGTATGAATTTGATGTGGATGATAACTCTGGTTTTGTTCGGTGAACCCTATTGCTGGATCAACATTTGAGTAGCTCGTAAACACAAGAATGTTGTTAGCAAATCAAAAGATAATAGAAAGATATTTTAGAACCAAAAAAAATAGAGAAATCAATTCAAAACTAGTATTTCAGGAGAACTTGTAACTTAAAGAGAAAAAAAAATGGTTTCTCATTCACGGTGCTGTTATAAGGGGTTTAAATTGGAAAAAAACCCACTCTTTAAGTTGATTGTACAAACTCTTCTATATAGTGTTTGTTTTTATGTTCTGGTGTATCAAAATAAGCAAAAGAAAGATAAAGTGGAAATAGAATAATAGATAAATGTAATCTTGATCTGATATTCCAATGGCCTGAGGAACCTGGCATTTCACTTCTGCTTCCCCCTACCATAGACTTTTTTACATACACACTTATGCATCCTTTGGCTGGACTAAGTCGTAATTTTCGTATGTGATACCAAAAGTCCTGGGAAAATCTACCAAATGAAAAATACCAGGATTTGGCCTGCTTTACTCCAAACACTACATTTTTTTTCTGTCACTTAGAGTATTTAAATTGAGATTGAATAATACATAGAAGTGAAGGCTTAGTAGGAAAAACAAAAAAAAAACCAGCAAGATTTTAGGAAATGATGCAAAATTATTGAGAAGTCTTAAAAATATCTGTATTTTGTGGGAGCTCAGGTGATAGTTGTGATGTCACCTTACCAGCCCAAAATATCTGTGTGTTTGGTTGGTTGGTGATGAAAGCTTGTAGCATGTCTTATCGCTTTTTTGGTTTTTGGCTTATATGGCCATGTATTATTCCATTAATGGCGTGCAGTGATTGACGTAAAGCGGCAGTAGCACGGGCAATGGAAATTTGAAGTCTAAAACCTTAAATGAAACGTGGGAAAAGAGTAGAAAACTGAGACAAAAGGGAGAGGGCAAAAGAAAAGACACAAAAAAACTAAACAGATGTATTAATCCCAGGCACAAATACAAACTGGGCACAGAGTGGGTTGAGAGCAGCCCTGAAGAGAAGGACTTGGGGGTGTTGGTAGACGAGAAGCTCAGCATGAGCCGGCCGGGAGCTCCTGCAGCCCAGAAGCCAACCCTGTCCTGGGCTGCATCCAGTGGCCAGCAGGGCAGGAGAGGAGATTCTCCCCCTTTGCTCTGCTCTGCTGACACTTCACCTCGAACACTGCGTCCAGTGCTGGTGTCCCCACCGTGAGAGGGACGTGGAGCTGTTGGGACGAGTCCAGAGGAGGCCCCAAAGCTGAGCCAGGGGCTGGAGCAGCTCTGCTGCGAGGACAGGCTGAGGGAGCAGGGGTTGTTCATCTGGAGAAGAGAAGACTCCGGGGGGACCTTATCCCTGCCTGCAGTGCCTGAAGGGACCTACAGGGAGGCTGGGGAGGGACTTTGTACAAGAGTGTCCAGCGACAGGACAAGGGGAAATGGATTTAAGTTGAAGGAGAACAGATTCGGATTGGAAAAAATTCTTCAGTGCAAGGGTGGCAAGACTCTGGAATAAATTATCTAGAGAAGCTGTGTCTGCCCTTTCCCTGGAGATGTTCAAGGCCAGGTTGGATGAGGCCTTGAGCAACCTGGGCTGGTTGAGCGGCGTCTTTGCCCATGGCAGGGGGTTGGATGAGATGATCCCTAAGGTCCCTTCCAACCTAGGCCATTCCATGATTCAATTCTATGATTCAAGTCAACCCAGATTTCTCTGAAATTCCTCTCTATCTCTTATATCTGGAAAAAAATGAGGATACTTCTTCCAAAGGTGTGCAGTTTTTTGTCTTGTTGTGTGCTATTGGATGTTTTTACTGTATTTTGGAGTGGGATTAATATCTTTTGACTTGTCCTTTTGTGCGTAGCAAGCTCTTCACCGAATTCATCCTGAATGTTCCCGTGAGCCGACTCACAATCCAGAAGCTGTACTGCTTGATAGAAATAGTTCACAGTGACCTCTTCACGCAGCACGGTGAGCAAGACTTTTGCAACCCTTAAGTTGTCACGGTATTTGTTGTCTCCACATCTCTGCTACCGTGAGGTCTGTCCTTCCTGCCCAGCGCCGCGGAGGTTGTAACCGATGCAGGCTGTGCCTTCAGAAAAAGGCAGTTTCCAATAAGCAAGAAAATACTAATTGTCACTTGCTGCAGGTTCTAGATCATAAAGAAGGGAAAACAGATCTTTAATTAAAAAGAGCACTAAGTTCCTGGTGTTATTGGCATGTGCTGTAACTTGAACTATGTTATATTTTATCAAAACCAATGAATTCAGCTTTTGTGGTTAGTGAAGTTCTGTGGAAAAAAAGGAAGTTTTTGTTGTGCTTTCTTTCCAAAGCATCATTCTCTCCCTTTAATCTGTCCCCTAGCTGAAGTAAAACAACGTATAAACCTTTTACGAGTGTGCTGGTCATCCTTGCTTTCTTGTTTTCTCCTTTTACGCTAGTGCGCCAGGGAGAGGTAAGTTCCCGCACTTGCCTTACAGATTTTTTCGTTTGAGTTTAAACATTTTATTGTTACTCTAGATGACTGCAGGTTAAACTAACCTAAGCTAAGTGTTTATGTGCTGTCAGAAGAAGTTAATGAGGGAGCAAAAAGGCAATGGTTCAATGATAAAGGAAATTTGAAAGGATTCTTCTGTCAGATCAGAAGTTCAGGGACCACGTGATGCAAAGTGCTGATAAAACTTTTCTGGTTTCAATTTTAAAAATGATGATGGTGGATCGACTTTGTACTGGCAGGGCTTATACCAGATCAAGTAATGTCTAACCACAGTTATGCTGGATCTAGGAACTTTTAATTATTTTTTTTTTTTCAGTTAGCAGACAAGTAGAAGGCCACCACAATCTCTGCCGCAGTCTGTTGTGCTCCTTAATTTCACAGAACCGTGTGTGCTTGTGCTTGGTGCAGGTCAGTGGCACCGCTGGGAGGTTTAAAGCTTAAACTTTGTGCAAAACCAACCACACAAAAAGTCTAATGAGGATTAATGCTGTAAGATAGAGATTCTGGAGACTCTGAACCCTTTACTTGAAGAAAGGGTTTTTCCTAAGGAAGCCTTCAGTACAGTTACAGTTCATCCTGAGTAACAAGGCGTAGCGCAGGCTGTAAATTTTCTTCCTGCGGTTATGGATGGTGATGAAGTAAGAAAGAATCTGAAAAGCAGAGTCCCCCAGCCATGTCACCATGTACTGCACAAGCAAGTCTACGTGTGGTTCAGCTTGATCTTAGCTTTTGAGATCTTCTTTTGAAATTATCCAGCCCTTTATGAGCCACATCAAATGATTTTATTTCTTAATTGCGGGGTTTGCAGGAATGAAAAGGAGGAATGTAGGTGGAGCTGCTGGTGTTGGGGCTTGTTTTAAACACAAGTGTTTTGCAGGAATGAAAAGGAGGAATGTAGGTGGACCTGCTGGTGTTGGGGCTTGTTTTAAACATGAGTGTTAACTCTTCATTTATTTGCAGCTCATTGTGTAGTAATTTTTCCTTCTGGCTGCTTTTTGGTTGCAAAATCTTTGGGACAGAAGTCAGTAATATAAAGTATTACACTTGGCTATCTTGAATAGGAGGAAATTAAGGTAACTCAGATAAAACAATAAATTGTGACTATAAAAAGCGCTCCTAAGGAAGGCTGTGGGAGCATATTGTGAATTTATTAATCCTTGACTTCCCTTATTTGACTAATTTCCTTTTCAGAGGTGGTTTGTGTTTTAAACCAGTCTCAGACTCAACCATTTGGGTAGCAGCCAATCTAGCGCCCACCATTAATGAGCTCCTGAGAAATTTAACTGAATCCGTGTTAATATCAGGCTCACGAATCTCAGCTCAGCCCCGTTTTGCTGACAGAACGTTCCTGTTTAATGGCTTTTGGATCTTATCAGGAGGCTTCTAACCAGGGGGGTTACCCTGTTGCTAAGAACATCTTCAGTCTAACATGCTTTAGTGGAGATTTTTCAGGAATGCTGCTCACGCTGCCCGGCTTTGCCGCGTGAGGCATGGCCCAGTTATACGTGACCTCATATATGTTTGTGTTTTTTCTTTTTTTTTTGTGTGTGTGTGCCGATAAACAAAGCATTATCTTAAAAGCTTCTCCTGCCACTGGTAATTCTCTATAAAGCTTGTGTCCAGGGAACCAGTTGTGCTGAGAACCTTTCATAAACACTAAACTTCACTTGAAAATAAATTAAACCCTGAGCCGCAGCCTTTGTTAAATTTCTTTTTTTTTTTTTTCCCCCTTGCTCTCTGGGTTTAAGTTATTTTTACTAAAACTGAGTTCGACTGCCTCTCCTCCTCCTCATTGATTCAATAATTTTTGACTGATAGGCAATAGTTTCATATAAGTATCCAGCTAATCCTGTATCATATTGCAGAAATGAGATTTTCTTTTCTAAAAGCAATATGCAGCACAGAATTGTGGAGTTGATGGAAAGCTGTAAAATGTACAGAAAATCAAACAGCATTTCATCACTGCGTTTCTGTTGGAGAAAAAAAATGTTCTAATTCTGTGCTTTGAGAGGCTGAGAAAGATTTATTTGCGTCTCCAGAGGAATTAAAATTCATAATAAATGAATTTGCAAAGCTTGAAGGATTTTTGAGGCGGCAAGGGTGAGTGTGGGAAAGAGATTGCTAAGGTGTTGTGCTTGAAGAAGGCTGTTGAGTGCTGGATGGTTGGGTGGCCTTTATGAAATCTGAAGAGTTTGGGACCTTGGAAGAGAATGTGCTATGGTGCTGTGGTTTGTATATCTTTCAGAAAGGATGCAAATCACAATTTTAAAATTCGTTCACTTTCCTGGTTCCGTCCTGTGCCATTTACGCATTCCCTTCTGATGTTCAAGGTGAGTTTTCTTCTTTGCAGAACTTGTAGGTATTTTTAGTAAGCTTTCTTCAACCTTGGCAGGAAAACCCTGCACATTCCTTAGGGTTTGGTGCATTTGTCCTAAAAGTTGCTCATAACTGAGTCCTAGTGCCAAAGGGATGAAGAAGAATCAGTACGTAGCTGGTCAGCCAAAGCCATGTTAAGCAGGGTGTGTGTTGCACATGTATATTTGACAGGAGAACAAGAGCTGGGTGACTTCAAGGAGCATATTTTTCCAATCTTGCTGATAGTTATGGAGGCAACAAGTAGAAATCACCTCTCTCTGTAGACTAAATCTGTATCAAATCTTCATGCTTCTCGTTTCTGTCCTTGAAACCACAAATACTCAAATATCACTAAGAAGAAAAGATTTTCCTGTTGATTCCCTGCTGACATAGAAACAGCTGTTTCTGCCCATTTTTGGGGATTATAATTGAGTTCAAGGCCTGTTCAGCACATCTGAGATGCTCTGGTTTTTATCCTCTGGGATATCCGTAACCTATCGTGGCTTTGGCAAAATAAATGTGAATTTTCTTGTGGAAAAGTGTGGGGTTGCATCTGGGTTTTCCCTGTCGTGGAAAATAATCCCTAACGTGACGTGTGTCCCACCCCCTGCTTTTTGGAGAGAAGAAAAGTATTGGGCAGGAGCCCTTTGTGTGGGGGCTGGACAGACGCTTCCGTAGGGTCTCTGAACACCCCATTGTTAATTTTTTGCGAACCGGGATGCAGGTTCTTGCATGAGGTAAAGCATTTTAAATTGCCAGCGGTTAACGTCCTGATTCAGCAAGTTATTTGATTTTGAGACTTGAATAGAGCCTTAAATGTACTCATTTAGATTTGCATCTCGCTCAGTGAGGACATCATTATTCTCAACATGTTCTTACATAGGCCAGACATACGTAATATTTTATGTATGTGTCTTTAAACATAAGAAAAATGTGATATAATAATTACATAAAATTAACCATGTATGACTATATGGAAGTTAATACGTGTCTAAATAAGTAACAGTAATTTACGTAGATCTTTTACGGTGCACCCAAAATCTTTTTTTGTCTGCGTAAAGCAGCAAACTTTTGAGCGAGACCAACCCTGCACGTCTTCTTCCTTCCCTGCCCCTCTCCCCTCCAGAAAAACCCGACCTCCAACCCTCACATAAGGGAAGCATTTCTTTAGATTAGCACCTGCAACAACCCCGTGTTGTAGAAGTCTTCTGTAAGAATATGTCCAAATGTAAGTGCAAAGTTAGAAATCAGCGTGGAACAGTTTTAGGCTAAACTGATGCCTCTTTTCAGTTCTGAACATTTAAGTACTTATACCGTAGTAGTTAAATGAAGTGTCTTATCCTTGCAAACTTCAAGATTTGGGGTTTGTGTAAATAGCGATTTATCTGATTTATTCTGTCCCATAGAGTTGTTTGTTTTCTCTGCTGCTTTGTTTTACAAATGACTTCCAGCTAATTACCAAGTGAGCTGTGTAGCTGCTGTATCTTAAGTAGCTACAAAATCTACTGTTTTTTCCATTAGGAAATTGGTAGTCCATTAGTAGACAGCGTACAGCATTTCCAAGAGTTCTTATTGTTTAATTATGACTAAAATTACAATCTTTGTCTCCATGCTGTGCAGCAGAAGTGATGTTACTAAGCATAGGGTTTTTTTTTTTTGGCCACATTAACTAGATGAACCATAAAGTTAAGAAATGCATTTGTCAGTGTCCCTCCAAATGAAATGTTTTTAAATTGACAAAAATTTATTGCATGTATTTAGCTCCGGCGTAGTTCCTGTGTCATGTGAAGTCTTTACTTGGAGGCTCGTCAGTTGATAATGCCTCCTGAGTTTCCTTTTATAAAGATTAATATTTTATTCTCACTGCACATCCCTGTGACATTAATCACTGTGGGTTGGACTCGCGCGGTGGAGAACAGATGTCGAATTATTGTTGTCTGTAATCATTGTGCGTCGTACTCATGAGCTGTCTTCAGAGCTGGCTTTTGAGCAGGAGGGTGATGCTATAGACTATAGATTTACCAAGGTTGCCCATAAATCAGGGCTGGGAATTGCTTGAGAGAGACAGGCTGGTGAAGGTTAACTTCACTCTTCTCTACTTCTATGTAATCAAGATACA